TGATGCGACAAAAAAGGTATTTGACACTGACCGGTGCCGGCACCCCGGAGAATTGGCAGTCCGCGTGTATGCACACTCTGCAACCGTCTTTGATTCCATCCATTAGCCACTCGTAGGGAGATATTTGACTAACTTGTAAGTGCATTGTTTTAAGATTTAAAAACTAAAGATTNGCGAATTTTGAAAAAAACAAATTTGCTGATTAAATGCGGACAACCGTTTAACTGAAGTAAAATGGGTTTTCCCCTTGCTATGGATGTCTGCCTAGTTCAGTTCAGCCACATTCCGCTACAGTTCGCCTTTATTATCAGTTCGAAATGGGGTGGTTCCATAATACCTGCAGTGTTCCATAATACCACCTTCTCCTCTACTATTTTTTTTTCAAAATGTACTGTACTAGTTCTATGAATGTCGACACATACAAAATTTATATCTAAAAAGTTTATTTTGTCCATTCGATTTAACACACTGATAGAGATATGCAATATTTTATTTTGTAAAAATTAAAAGATTTATTTACAATTCAATTCTATTTCCAACATCTAGAAACACAGCTTTAAGCTGGATTGATACTTCCTTTTTTAATCATTGCTGACATTTCTCTAATTTTAAATCCACGTTAATGTTCATTTGACTGATTTGTTTTTATCTGAGTCATATCCATTTTTAACGTATACGCAGAGGATTTCAAATCATTCACTGCTGTTTCAATGTTCTCTACAACCCGATTAAGTGCTGATCTTCGTTTTTCCTCTAGTGCTTGCGCCTGTCTATGTATAGTTTTATGTAAGCGGCCTGTATAAAAAACCATGTAACACAAACATAGGAAGGAGCGAGGGAGTGACCACTCTAAAAAAAAAAAAAAAAAAACGTACAATGCATTTCCACTTTAGAAAATATTTTGAAACAATTGGAAATATTTCCATATCATTTTAAACTTGTTTTCTTCGATTGAGTATTTTTTTTATTTAATTTAATTAATTACTTAATTTTGTTAAATCTAAATATGTACAATTTGACAATTATACATGATTTTTTCACGTATTCAAACAAAATAACATCGCAAGCAATAAAAGCTAATTAATAACTAATAGGCTTGAGCTAATCTATACTAATATAATAAAGAGGTAATGTTTGTATGTTAGTTTGTATGCAGCAGGTAATCTCCAAAACTACTCATCCGATTTCAAAAATTCTTTCACCAATATTTAGAATGGAACCTCAGGATGGACATAGGCTGTCGAATACATGTCGAAATTACCCCATTGGGGGGAGAGGGACAGAATTAAAGCTTACTGTGAAAAACTTGGCTTCTATTATACTATTTTATATGCGGGTTTTTGCGTTTTAATAGAGTACGTCAACACAATGTACAGTAAGAAGGGATTTTTCGATATTCCCCCGCGGGGGAGAGGGACAGGATTAAGGCTTACTGTGAAAAACTTGGCTTCTATTATACTATTTTAGATGCGGGTTTTTGCGTTTTTGATTGCGTTTTAATAGGGTACGTCAATAGAATGTACACTAAGAAGAAATTTTTTGAAAAATTTTCTCCCAGGGGGAAGTGTTATACATTTATAATAGATACATTTTGAGCCACAACAAGCCGTGGCTGGGTCTGCTAGTAGATATATATTTTAACCGAGACAACAAATACGTGAGCTAAATAAAAAAATTATTCTTTCGAATATCTACACTTAATTCCAACTAATTCCTAATTTCCCATATTTCCACGAAAATTTACATCTATTTCCAAAGTATTTCACAGTGCATGTACAAGTATTTCCACAGTGATCACTCCCTCGGTAGGGAGACAGACATCAGACATAACAGCCAAACAGAACGTGACACATGAACACAGTGATTTACATTTGGTGTTCGGTTTCCCTCAGACTTCGTCTCCAATCTTCAGAAAGTGAACCAAGCTGTCGATGTGGCCTCGAACGTCGCTTCGGGGTGCTCATTTTCATGTTTATCATGAAAGCTAAAACGAAGATTAACAGATAAGTATACACTAATTTTAAACATGATTTAATCTAAAGGTATTATTCCAAGCTGACAATGTAGTTGAAGGTATACGTAAAAAAATAATGTTTTGTTTTTTTTATTTCCTGCATGCAATTTATATATTTTTTTATATTCTAACAATAAAGTAAAATTAAAAAAAGATCTTTTTATCAGAATTAATAGCTATTAGCATCAGTGGAGTGTTCAATACTTTATCGGTTTTAGAAAATAAACGTGCTATTTTTAATTAATTTCTTAGAAAAAAGAAACAAACTTTAAAAAAAATTTGCTGTTTGTAAAAATGTTTACGTAATTCAAAAGTAATTTTTAATGTACTGTATGTCATACACAGCATTGTTAATATGATTTTGGAGTTTGCAGAACGTATTAAATTCCTTTAAAAAGTAAAAACTAATTATATCATTTGATATCAAGATATTTTGTATATTTTAAAAATAATTCATTCTATCCTGAGATTTCCCGGGATCTCGGAAAACAGTTTACTTTTATCCCGGAATCCTGGGACAAGCAAAAGACTGGAAAATGAGAAAACCTAGTTTTTTTCCAAAAAATATTATTAATTTAAACACAAATCACAGAATTTATTAATGATTCTTCAAAAACACAAACCCACCAGTGAACAAGAAGATAACATCACTGAACATTGGTGGATTTGCGCCATGCCAACGAACACCTGACGTTTTCTGGTTTTCTTTACATTTGTAACATCTAAATAGGGCCAATTTTCCATAGAGAGTCCTTCAGTGAGTCATTCCCCGAAATATCGTGTAATTTAAATTCACGCGTAATGTATGTAATCACCAATACATGCACTGACCTATGGATGAATAGATTAAACCCCACCGAAATCTGAGAGTTGGTAGTGTGTTCTCGCCTGATCAGCGAGCTGAAGTTTTCTGGGTTATCTCCACGGTGTTAAACCACAGTTACTCGTAAAAACTCTCTCTGGAGGCACCTCTTTTCAGATGATACCAATAATATGCTGCTTTATCTTACCCCATTAATTTCACCATACTTTTTTTATAATGACTATTTAGCCTTTTTATTAATATTTTTATTTAAAACCTTTTTACTGCTTACTTAATTTACAATTTTATTAGGTATTTTATTGTACATTAAAAACCACGTGACACTATTACACCCATAACACACACGTACCTTCTGCCATGCAGATAATATTGTTCGTTATAATTTTATGTATTTTTTGTTTATATACATTTATCTTCACTAAATGATTTTTATCAAACATTTTCAGGAGAATGCATTCATTTTACTACAGAATAAATGTTAAGAGACTGGTAGCTATATCAATACATTACAACTTCTGTATATATACTGTATATATTATGCTTTATTTTATTTTTACTTTTATTGTATATGACATAGAATAGTTATACGTTTCTATGTCATATACAATAATGGTGCGAGGCCTTACGCCATCCCACCATGTCCTGACAGTAACACCGTCTTCTGAAAATAAAATTTTTTACCAGAATGATATGAAAGTGAAATATATTCTTAAAAACTTCTTTGATGATTTCTGCTTTAGAAATTTCACTTTCTACTTAAATGATTATTGAGTATTTTGTCTAAACTTCAAGTAGGAAGACGATTAAGTGAAGTAAACTAAATTAACAATAAACTTTTTCATAAAATATAATTTTATAAACGAACCAGTATATCTAGTGTACCAGAGCCCCTTCAGCCGCCATTCAAAATTCATCGAGTGGCGTTTCCACTTCCCGAGACGAGGACCCAGGGGTTGGATTTTGGGAAGCGGTGTTGGTGTTATGTGACGGGGTTGTTTACGGCTGTGACGCATGACATGTAAATGAATGGATGCGATGAACAACTTAGATAATGATTCAATTTTGAATGTTATCGTGAAGTGTGTTTGTAAGGAAGTGTTGTAATGAATATATACATATATAAAAATAACATAAAATCTACAATTAATAAAATACGTGCTAACAATGCATACAACTAAATAATACACACTTACCTGATGTATGCTGTAATCAATATGGTGAAAACTCTTGGGCGAAGTCCAATAATTTCAATTGTTGAACTGATACAGATGGACATAAAATTTGTGACATTTTACTGCTATGTCTCAACTATTCTTGTACCAATTAATGTATATGTACCAATGTATCATGGACTTGTAATGGATAGGTGACCGGCACGACTCCATTGTTAGAGGAAAAGTATGATGTACAGGGACAAGCTTCTGCTAATTTATACTAATATTATAAAGAGGTAAAGTTTGTAAGTTTGGATGTAGGTGGTAATCTCCGAAACTACTCATCCGATCACCAATATTTAGAATGGACGTTCAGGCTGTATATTATTCCGTTAAACATTCATATAAATTGAAAGATATCATCTAGGTAAGCGTTATATTTTTGGTGACCGAACTTGTGATATATAAATTTACATGTCCTGACTGATTCATCATCGCCCAGAGCAAACTGCTGAACCTAAAGAGGTGAAATTTGCTACACAGTTAGGGTACTTCATGAAAATGCACACTAAGAAGGGATTTTTCGAAATCTACCCGCGGGAGGAGAGGGAAAGGTTTAACTAAAATCTTGAAAGTAAAGATTGTAAATATATAGCTAAAGAGAAAATGTTATATTGCCAAATATGGAATTACTAATTTTAAAATATTTACTAAGTAGACAATCTTGGAAAATGATAATTATTAAATTTAAATTAACATATTTATTGGTTTAATAGAACACTTTTATTACTCATTTTTTGTCAAAATACAGAAAATTATATTTTATTTAGAAAAATTCATTAATAGAACATCCACTCTTGAACTATTCCTTGTTTCTCTTTGAAGAAAAAGGTTAGTTCGACCATCATCCAATTAAAAAAAATTAACAAACATTCAAAAATCGTAATGAAAAAGTACATTTTAAAATATTTAAAAAAAGATGATAAATGAATGTATCTTAGAAAACATTTTTAATGTATTAAAAAACGCTAATGACATTAAATAAAATGATATAATAATAACTTAACAACATATTTTCTTGTTTAAGAAAATAACATACATAATATTTCAAAATGAAACTTGTACTCGTACTGTGAAAATTGAAAATCGTCTCGTACTTTATCTGCTCGCATCACGGTTCGTCGAACGGGAGCAAATTTTCCAGCATTATAACAAAAATTTGTCATATTTAATAGTAAAATTATATTATATTATATATATATATAACGCAACAAGAAGAGCATTTCTTCCTGTTAATAAAAGTTATTTATATTTGTTCAATAATTTGACTGTTCTTGGCAGTGACTAGTTTAAACTAAACACTATTGAATGTAGTGAAACACATATAAAATTATTATGTATAACAAACATCAATTCATTTAATATATTTTAGTTTTCTTATTTTTTAATATATTTATGTATATATAGACATTAAAAATTGCACTGAAATACAAATTATCACAAATCTGATTGTCAGTTGTTTTGTAATACTGTGAAAAGATGTTTATGTATATATACATCTTAATATTAGAAAAATATAAAAAGTGATACTTAATTTTTCTCTTATTACATTTACATTGGTTTTGGACTGGATGTGAGTTTGAGACGATGACGGACCGGTGACGAAGATCGTGACAATTTTGAAGGAGTGTTTAAAATTATACTTGGACTTTGAGATAAATGATATTCTAAAGTAGAGTCTAGTTTAGTGGCTTCGGGTTCCAATAGATAGGGGTCTTGCGAAATACTTCGTAGAGATTGGTCCAGGGCGGAACGCAAAAGCTGAATTTCGGTACCGGTCTGGAGGCTGCTCTGATGAAAGTGTTTCCATCGTTTATGTTCTTGTGCCAATTGCTCTTTCAGCATTGAAATCTTTATAAATTAAATGTATGTATTTTAAAAGATTTTGAAAAATTAATTGACGTTTCAAGTAAATTTACCTGTTGTTCGAGACCAGTAACCTGGTGTCTGTGAGTTTTTTCTCGTGCTTCTAACAATTGCTCTGCTTGTACCTGAGCTATCTGAAGTCTTTCCATCTCATTTCTAATGTCTTGTCTTTGGCTTCGAGATAAATCAACTAATTGTTGAGAATGTTGCTGCCGTACTTCGGCAAGTTCAACCTATTATATATACATTATTATAATTTGAATTTTTATATAATTATATATAATTATCTGAAAGAAAGTATTTTTAAAATTATACTGGATGTCTTAAAAAGAACACATGAATTACAAGGAATATTATATATTTAAGGAAAACAAGTCAACACTTAAGTTTTGTTGATTACTGAAAACCATAACTTTCATTACAAAAAACAGAGGGTGATACTGTTGCTTCAGGTAGAACTTTTGAATGAAGGTATGTAAACAAAAACTGAAATGAAAAAGTCTATGAAGAAAATCACCTCAATATTTCAGCAAAATGAATTTATAGAAAAAATGTTAACATTCAATCATCATTTAATGGTCATATTCATGTCACAGAATAGAACAAAATTTTGGTGACTGAAAAGATTTGTTCTTTTGAATGAGGTTTTTACTAACTGATGGATGGGATTTCTATCTGCTCCCAACAGACAGACAAATAATCTTTATTAGATCCCGACACCAGTAGGCACAATTGGAAATGCTATACAAGATATACATTGAAGACCCATGCTGACACATAAAAGCAGATAACGTATATAAAAAGTAATAAAAAAGTGAAATAATAAACAAAGTTGAATATTTACAGGGCAAGGAAGACACTGATCAACAACAACCAAAAAATGATACATATTAGGAGATGGACGGTGGTACAAACACAATACACCTAAGGTGATAATAGTTCTAGCAAAGCAGAGTCTGATCAGTTCTTGAAGAAAATGAAAGTTGTTTCTTTCGAACACTAAAAGCACCAACTTGCAAGGCTAATCGACCCCACTATCAACAATCAGCTAGTAAAGGGGGCAACAGGCATCCTCAAGCATAGGACAGTGAATGAGGTAGTGGTACACCCCATCACAAAAACAGGCCAACAATCTGTGTTACTATTATGAAATCTGTGTAAGTAGGCGTTGAAATGTCTGCACTCACTTAGAAATTGAGTAAAGTTGTGATGTGGGTGAATCTGCTGACATTTGGGAGGAGTTGCCTAGTAATATGAGTCTCTCCTTGCCAGAGGGCAAGGAATTCCAGTCATTTTGCCAACATTCAGCCATGCTGTTCCATAGCAACCGCTTAATACTGGAGGAAGGAAGCTGATAGTAAGCAAAGATGCCCTCACAATTCTCTGTAGCAGCACAGGCAAGGAAATATGACTTCTTGTTGCCCAGAATGCCTTGATCCATTTGATAAGAAAGATGTTAGAAGACAGGGAGGCAGCAAAGAGGATGTCCCTAGCAATAGGGTGGGTGGTGTCCTTATCCTGTACAATCTGCACAGTGGTGGCACAATCTGTGCTGATGTTGATGAGTTTCTCCTTATACTCATTGTTGCAATACTGTACAACCATAAGGACAGTAAAGATTTCCGCCTGGAACACTGAGCACTCTGGATGAAGGCTGAAAGTACCATGATGTGTCTCCATGCCAAAGGAAAAGATGACAAATGCACCAGCTGTACCTTGTGAAGTCTTTGAGCCATCTGTGGAGGCCTCTATGTCAGAAGGCCTATTGACCAGGCCAAGACCACTTTTAAATGCAGGATGGGGAGATCACTAAAGTGATAGTCACTAAAGTGTGAGGCGTCAAACAAGACACCTAGAAGAGTAGCACTTCTTCCTCTTGAAACATAGAGCCTACCCATGGTGTAGTAGATTTGTTGTAAAATTGGAGGTTTCCCAGAAATAACTGGCAGAGTTGCATTCGAGACTGTCCTGTAACTGCAAGTCAGACAGGATCAATGCTTCTGCATAATCTGGAGTAAGAATTAGTGCATGGCGTTGGGCGGTCCTCAGCCTGTGGTTATGGGAGTGGCTTGTGGCTTCACCCCAAACAGCCGAGCTATAATAGATAACCGAGATGAACACATAGTCATAGATGGAGCGGCCGAGCGGCCGAGCGGTCAAGGTGGCAGCCTACCGCTCTGGGGGACCCGGGTTCGAATCCAAACGGGTCGAAAAATCCCCAGGAATTTTTTGGGGGGTGGTCTGTTCGGATATGTCGGGCCCCGTCCCTCACCACCCGGCAGCCCCATTGTGGGCCTGGCCGAACCCATAATGGGCTTGCAAAATGAGGCACTCTTAGTGCCCACAGGGCAGAAAAAAAAAAAAAAAAAAAAAAAAAAAGTCATAGATGGAGTTAATCACTTCATAGCCCAAGCCCCAACTGTTATGAGCAACATGCAGGAGGTTGTTAAAAATTATGTTGGGAGCAGATATAGGACTAATCTAACTGCACAAGAAAAAGTCCAAAGGAGTTATGTGAAGGACCCAGTTTATCAAACACCTGTTACAGATGTGGATACATTAAAAGGCCACATACAAATGCAGTCAGAACTGTCACATAACTGCTGAAATGAGATTGAATAATATCTTGCTAAAAGTAGGACTTTCTGTAATCCATTAGTTCTTTTTCAGATACCCTGTATATTTAAATTTTACATAACTAATATGGAAGACTGCTAGTATTTACTATATGAAAATACTTCTGAATAACAAAAGTTGCTTTTCATGTTTTTTTATAAATAAATGAAAAAATAATTAACTAAAACTAGCCTACATTACTGCTACCAGGCTGTGGGAGCTTTGTTCATCCAAATTATCATTATATACTTATAAAGAATTTAGATAATCAGGAGTTTAATATAGTTTTTTTATTGCTTTAACGTCATCTTATTTCATCAGTGAATGAAATACAAGCATAACAAACACAACAACTGGGATAAAAATATATAAATAAAACTTAAAATTAACAGAATATGTAAAAGTTCACGTCACATCTTTCACCTTTGTGATGGCACACTGGTTGCAGAACACTGGTGTAGAGGGCCATTTTGGATTATCCGTGTTTTCCAGTTTTCTATGCACACCTGTGCATCAATTAGCACGGATAATGGACTATTAGAAATAGAAAATAATAGGTAATAAACACAGAATTTTTTATTCCCAAATGTTTTTGTCTGATACAGTTTGAAACACTTGTTGGAGCAAAGTTTGACATCACATTTGACACAGTAATATATTGTATTTTTCCTATTGCTATTTCATTGAGAAGAACAATATATCAAGCATTAGTAACTAGGATCAATGCTTCTGCATAATCTGGAGTAAGAAAAACTTACTACAGACTTTGCAAAACATTCCAAAGATCCTGGTTACTAATGCTTGATGTAATGTTATTAATGAAACAGCATTCTACTAATCTCCTCTCTGTGGCTGATGCTGAAGGACAAGTGGAAGGAATCCTTGATATTTCCTAAATAATTGCTTTCACCAGGCCAAGAGAGATTTCTTTGCAAAATTAGTCATCACAATCTTGCAACCAGAAAGATTTTTGTAAATAATTCTTGAATTAGGAAATGCCAAATCAATTAAATAAAAGAGCTTCCATCACTTTACCATCTACCAATTTCTGCAAATTTACTTCAAATTCTATTGTACTGCATCTAAAAGATGCAGTATGACAGAATTTGATCTGCCTTGCTGACACCTATCGTGTTATGAAAAGATGAAGCCATCATCTGTTGTGGAATATGTCTCCTATGAGCCTGCATTTTGACCATCTCATTGAAATGTCCATTAGATAAAATGTACACATTACAGCATGGCACCTTTTCTTTTGGCCACCTGCTCTCCCTTCTTCTGTTTAGATACAAAAACAACCTACAGGAGATGTTGTCAGTTGCATCTCACTATACTGATTTCTGCTGTTCACCAGCATCAAAGCAATTTGAATAACTGGGACCTGGAGAACCAGCTATTCAAGAATACACAAATGTCTATGGTCTTTGTAAGGCAACTGTTATGCATCTTTGTGAACCTGTCACTATCCTTGGGTCCTGTGTAAACTTCCAGCAACTGGATATGTACTCAAAGGTAATACCTTGATACCATATGGATACAATTTCCTTTTGATGTACAGTACATGGAGAAGTGAACTTTGCCATGAAACAGGCAGACAGTTATGTCTATTATCAATTCCTTTCTAGGAAAATAGAAAGTCTGAAACTTGGTCAGTTTCTCTGATCCTCTCTATAATCTGTAATAGTGAAGACCTGATTTCCTCTTGGTATTGCAGTTTCCTTGTCAGCAACATATAAGAATGACAAGATGGACTATCACAAGACTGCTTTATTTCTTATATAGTTGATAAAAGAAGACTGGTGGAACACTCATACTCCAAAAGTCTTAAAATTTCGATTTAGGTGAGACAGTTGCATAAAGTATGACAAAAAATGTCTTTAGGTCATCAGTGATCACAAATTTCCAAGTAACTGCAGTTTTTTTCCAGCCTTTGTTGCAGTTGGTACCTGTTTGTTTCCTGAACAATGTTGAAAACAGCATCATCAAGAAACTTTCACAGGGGTAATCTCTGGAATGACAAACACAAGTGGATTTATGTCCAAATCCCAGCCTTCATCTCTGGAAAGATAGTGAAAACTGCAACATCACCTTCATATTTTTCAGTGTAGGATTCTTTGGGGCAAATAATCATATGATGAAGAGATTTCACTCTTCTGCCTTGACATTATTGCATTCATTTTTCAACAGTGATTATAACATAACATGAACTATGTATGATAACATGATAAATAATACAGTCGACCCCCCTATAACGTACGTTCCTATAACGACAATTCCTATAACGTAGCGAAAAAATTGTAGAAACTTTCGTATAACGTACCTCCTATAACGTCGTTTCGCGACAAGATTGATAGAGTCTGGACCAATAGTGGATGAGCAGCCGAACTACTTACCTCCGACCCTGCGCCACGCTACGGAGCGGCTAAATTGAGTTTGCTATCGTCTGTTTAGTATTATATATAAATTATATATAAATTAGGTACTGTACATATAATTATATATTAATTATATATAAATTAGGTACTGTATATATAATTATATATTAACTTAATTTATTGTAACTTTATTATAATTATATATATGCTTTCTGCCGCCTGGCAACACGCTACGGAGATTTTAGGCTAGTAAGTTGAGTTTATTATCGTCTGCACAGTATGTAAATTAGGTACCGTAAGTCTAATACAGCACTAATTTTATACATTTCTT